GTCCCGCTTCCTCTCTGACTCTGGCCAGGGCAGACTCATCATGATTCCTCAAAAACATCATGGCTTTTACTCAGGAGTAATTTCAACAAACAGGTGCCTTTACCTGATATATCCACATACTGTGATTTCTACATGAATTCGTCTAGATTCCAGGTGGCGGGGCAAACTCTGTGTTGGAGAAAGACCGAAGCATAGTTAGTTCCTCATTTGCCATGCAGGGTCACCCTAGTCTGGAATAAAGAGCCTTGGGCTGAGAGTTGGGAAACCAGAGCGTGGATCCGAAATGTTCACTTCTGTGAATGCTGAGGCAGTCCCCATTTGACAAATGGGCGTTGCCACTCCATGGGGCTGCTTGGAAGATACAGTGAGAGGGAAAACACAGTGTCCATCAAAGTGTTTGCATTATACTGCGGCCTGTCATGTCACCCTACTGCAGGAAAGGGGACGCTGTGACGCTCATACCCCACCCACTCTATAAACATCATCAAACACTGTAGGACACACCAAGTCAAACCAAAGGCTCTCCTTGCATGCAGAGGAAGACATGGTGGGGGCACTTTTGGTAGTCCCACCCAGACTGGCTCCATAAATATAGATGCCCTCTGGGTCTTAGTACCTTTGGGTCCTGATGGGGAAGTCCTGTGTATATGTCAATAAAGCACTGTTGGCCAATAGGGAAGCAAGATAGGTGGGACTAGGAGTCCAGGAGGATTCTAGGTAGGAGAAACATAGGGAGTCATCATGTAGCCTGCCAGAGAAGTAAGATGTCCGTCCGGTAAGAGAAATACTTAGATGGGTTAAATACTTAAGTCAAAGATAGCCAGTAAGAAACAAGCAAACAGCCAACAACTTCATAATTAATACAGCATCCTGTGTGTTTATTTGGGGACTACAATGCGGCAGAGCCCAGGTGACTGGTGGGGAAAAACCAAAGCGGCTGGCAAGGAAAAGGCTTCACTCTACAGGGTCCCCTGTCCTATACCTTCCAGCCTTGTCAGTAGCCAGTGGTCTTTTTTTCCTCTAACTCATATTTCCAAAACTCAAAGGAAAAACACCCTCATTGTTCCCCGAATTCGACCACCTGATCTCCGGCAGCTGACAGACACAATGCCCAGATTGCTTCCGAGAGGATGCTGGCACATTCCAAAGGAAAAGTCTTTGTAAGCTGGATGCTGGCCAAACCAAGAGAGCCAAGACGTTTTCTCCCTTCACTGGACATTTGGGCCACTTTGTTCATTTGTTTTACAATAAATACACATAATTTTACTAAGCAGAGGAGCTAATTGTCCGTTTTTAGTTAAAAAAAATATTAGAATCTGGAGAGACTGGCACTAGCGTGCTGCTCTTGCAATGGTCCTGAGTTCCATTCCCAGCACCAAGCTGTTGTAGTTTGTTTGTTTGTTGGGTTTTTTAACTCTTGCTTTTTGGAGGCCTGCCACTCAGCACCCAAATAAATTTCACGGAAACGTACTCTTTCTTATGATTAAGTCTTAGGTTGGCCTTAGCTTGTCTTATTTTTAGCCAGCTTTTCTTAAATTATTCCATCTACCTTTTGCCTCTGGACTTTTTATCTTTCCCTATTCTATATACCTTTCTTTATTTCTTACTCTGTGACTGGCTGTGTGGCTGGGTGACTGGCCCCTGGTGTCCTCCTCTCTTTCTCCTCTTCTCTCTTCTTCCTTTTATTCTCTCTACCTGGCAGCCCCACCTATTTCTCTCTCCTGCCCAGCTATTGGCCATTCAGCTCTTGACTAGACCAATCAGGTGTTTTAGGCAGGCAAAGTAACACAGCTTCACGGAGTTAAACAAATGTAACAAAAGAAAATGCATCTTTGCATCACTAAGCAAATGTTCCACAGCATGAAAGAATTTAGCACGGCTTTAGCTGATATTCCATGACACCAACCCTAGGTGGCTCATAGGCAGCTTTGGGGTACCTTTGGGGTACCGAAGCCTCTGACCTCTACCAGCACCTTCCCTCATACACATATCCACACACAGACACAGATGGCACATAGACATAATTTAAAATGAAACTAAATATTTAAAAAAATGTGGTTGGGAGATGACACCCGTTAGCAGAATACTCGCCTGCCATGTATAAGATTCTTGTTCAATGACTGAATGAATGCACGTGTGAATGAATAATCTGATTTAAGATAAAGCATCTTTAGTTTTATTTCAGTTGAGCTCTCTCTCTCTCCATACAATAATCTGAGAGTTCTCACAGTGTGAGGATACTCTGACAATTGCTGAGCTTTCTGCACCCAGGAAGAAGGCTGCAATGACAAGAATTGCTCTTTCTTAAGTTAGCTGCATAGGGAAGTGTATTCATTTTTTTTCTATCACTGTGATAAAACATCCCAACCAAGGCCCTTATAGAAGGAAGGGTTACAACTCCAGAGGGCTAGCATCCATGATGGTGAAACGTAACCTTCGTAGCAGAATCAGGAAGCCGAGGGCTCACATCTTGAACTGAAAACGTGAAACAGAAAGAGTGACTCTTATCCCTCAAAGCCTCCCTCCACCCATGCCATACATCCTCCGCAAAGGCCATGCCTCCAATGCACCCTCAAGCAGCACCCCTAACAGGGGACTAGTATTCAAATGTCAGGCACTATGGAGAACATCTTATTTAAACCTCCCCTGAATGTGACAAACCGTACCCAAGGCAGAGTTGGCCAAATGCCAGTGTCACGTTCCACCTTTTTCTCACACCAAATCTCAAGGGAGAGACGATGAAGACATGCAGTTAGGCAGTGGGGAACAAAGGCTCACAGGATTTTGTAACTGCTCCTGGGCATGGTCAGGAGATTCCAACGAGAACCTGGTCTTCCCTGTCATTATATTCAACAGTGAGGATCAGGGTGGGGTGGTGTCAGGTGATGGGGTGGTCCTTCTGTGTATTCATTTCTCTTATTGGCTGATGAATAAAACACTGTGTAGCTAGTAGCCAGGCAGGAAGGATAGGCGAGGCTACCAGAGGAGGAGAATTCTGGGAAGTGTAGGCAGACAGGAGTCGCCATGTGAGCCCAGGGAAGAGAGGACGCACCAGGAGTTCTCTGGTAAGCTGAGACCATTCAGAAATACATAGATTAATAGTAATGGGTTAACAATTAAGACAGAGCTAGCCAATAAGAAGCCCTAGCCACCGGCCAACAGTATTATAATTAATGTAAGTCTCTGTGTGTTCATTTGGGGCAAGGCGATTGTAGAACCAGGCAGGAAATCCCATAACAGGCAGGAGGCAAAAGAAGCAGGGGGCAGCCCCCTGGTTCTCTGCAGTCTGCATGTGGCAGAGACTACGTGGAAGTTGCCAAGCCTCTAACATGATATAAATTGGCCTTGGTTGGATAGAATAGCCAACATCCCAGTTCAGAATAAAGGACTCACATACACATGTGCATTTGAGTCAGAAGCGCATGCTTGGGACCTCAGATTCTAGGTCTCTAAGACAGGAAGCACCAAAAAGTATGAATGAGCAGACCCAGGGGCAAAGGGCATGAACAGAGGGTCCCCTAGTCCCCAAAGGTCATCTAGAAAAGGAGCAGAGAAAGGAGATGAACCAATTTTTTATGCAAAGCCTGGGTCATTCAAGAATGGGTCATTGAAATGGCAGAAATGAAAATCCTGGTGATTTACAAGTTTAAAGATTACACCCTCAAGCCAGGTGGTGGTGGCGGAAGACTTTAGTCCCAGCACACAAGAGTTAAAGGCAGGAGGATCTCCGTGAATTTGAGGCCAACTTGGTCTAGAGAGTTACTTCTAGCACAGCCAAGGCTACACAGAGAAACCATAACTTGGAAAACAAAACAAAACAAAAGACTATACTCGCTTGCTAGGCTTGGGAACCTGAGGTGTGAATGAAATTCCTATGGACTGTAGTGGTTTGACTGAGATGTCTACATAGTTTTAAGTATTTGAATACTTGATCCCTAGCTGGTGGCACTTTTCAGGGAGATTTAAGACATGTGGTTCATCCTGTACAGGCTCATCCCGTGCAGTTGCATCAACCAAACTTGTTTAGGGAAGTAAAATCATGAGGCTTGTTACCTTATGAACAACAGCCTCCAATATCTCAGGAAATTTTGTCCTTGGGCAAAGGGCTTGCAGGCTAGAGGCATTTTTGTTTTATGGTTGTCTTAAGCACAGTAATTAAAACATAACACATAACTTTGACTCTCACACATACAATGACGTTTTTATCACAGCAATAGAAAAGTAGCTAACACATGGATAATTTTTCCCCCTTTGTACAGCTTGGAAATAGAATTATGAGAAAACTTCAACCTGCCCCCAACACTGGTGAGACATATGGCTTACTCCTTGGGTTCCTGGGCTTTCCTGGTTTGTACAACATTCACCCCACCCCAAGTGCTAAGGAACGACATTTTTCGACACACAGCGTGATACCACAACGAGTCACTGGTATGACTGACTGCTTTTGCCATGCTGAGTCACAGTTTCCGGCTGTGAGGTCACCTCTATGAGTCATCTTTAAAACGCTTGGCCCACTTTCGTCCCTCCAGTTTTCAGTCCTTCCAGCAGGAATGTCCAGGAATTGTGTTACCGTTCTAGATTTTGAAGAGTCTTTCAGAGTGTGTTGTTCATATGGTCTCCTCTAGTCCCAATATTTCTGTCAGAAGAAATTTTGCAGGAAAAAAAAATTCTTGGAAGCTTCAGTGTTGTTTAGTCAATGTCTGGTGGTGAAAAACTAGAAAGCACAACACAAAACCCTGGAAAGCAAACAAGTTTTTCAGTAGGCATCGGTGGGCTGGGGTGGGGGGGTGGGCGGGCATTCGTGTCCCAGGTCTGCTAATGCAAGCCTGTAAGTAAGGTTTGAGAGGTACCGCAGGACGCGTGTGGAAAATGATTTCTCCAGCACACATTGCAAACTAAGTTTCTTTCTGTTTCGTCCGTTTTGTTTTAAGGACTTAATCAGTACAACGCTGGTTATTGGTAGGGTGTGGGGAGGCGTGGACACCAGAGAGAGAGAGAACAGTTGCCACACCAGGATCAGCGCCCACAGGGAAGAACCCTGGTGTCTGGGCTCAGGCTGCAGAGAAGTGGACCGCTGCCCTGCTTCCGTTCTGTCACACAGCGACAAAGGCTGGGAGCGCTGGAGAAATCTGGACGGAAGCAACCACCGCGCTGCGGGAAACCTACAGGGATTGCCAGACGGGAAGAGAGCGCTGCTCTCCCTCAGCTGCCTGGAGTCTCCCTCTAGTGCCCTGGTTGGCAGAGCTTTTCAGGGCTCTGTAGCGGAGGCCCAGCTGCAGCAGAAGGACGGACGGACGGAAGGTGGTGAGCGGTGAAACAACAGCTTAATAATTGGCTCCACCAGCACTCGCGCGCTCACACACTGTAATATGGTCTGTCTTGTTCCCCGGGATGCCTCCGCGCTTAGGAAGATCCCCGTGGTATGAAATGCAGGCAATAAGCATTTGTCGACGGAGGAGCGGAAAGGGCAAGCAAAACTACACTAGCTGTTCTCCAGTCTGCATTCAAAGGCAAGAAGCGTCCAAAATAACCTTGACTGTCCCGCCAGTTTCTAAGCTCGTTCCTGGCTCTATTTATACTTCTCCCAGCGGCCTTACCGCGGCGGGGCTGTCAGAGATAGCTGTAGCCTAAGGCTTTGGAGAAATGCCGGTCCAGAGGAAAAAGCCCTGCCCCACTACTAGCCGAGGGGCCTTGGGCACTTGGTATCTGAGGCTTGTTCCCCTGCTCTATAAAATGCAGGCATTGCTGCTGTGGGGTTTAAATAAGGCGGTCGTATCTGGCAAGTGTTTGTCACACATGCCAGTAAAGAGTGTACGCCACTCTTTACTCCCACCCAACACCCTAGAGCGATGGGCAGTGGAGGTGTGTGTGTGTGTGTGTGTGTGTGTGTGTGTGTGTGTGTGTGTGTGTGTGTGTGTGTGTGTTCTGGATTTCCCTCCCCAGCTCTCCAGCGCTAACCGAGGTCCAAGCTGGAGGGACACGGAATGGCTCGTGGCGGCCAGGCAGGCCAGTGGTTGGAGCACCGCGGCCCCGGCAGGCCAGGGCCCAGGCTCTGCAGACCAGGATAGTCCTTGGACTGGAGTTTCCAAACAGCCCTATAGCCGGTTTCCTAATACCGGAGTTTCAAAGCCAGCTCCCTCCCTCCTGAAACAAACGAGGGTGTGGCCGTTCCTCGCATTCACAACTAAACAAAACAAGGAGAGCACCCACCCCCTAGCCTCGCCCAGCTCCGGACGTTTTCCCAGGCGCCGGGTGCAGCCGAGCTGCGGGCGCACCCTAAGGCTGCTGCGCGCCCCAGAGCCGGGGTTCAGCCCCCTCCAAGGTCCGGCCTCGGGGTGAGCTCGCCCGGGAGCCTGTCCGGGTCCGACCCGCCGCCGCCGTTGCAGCCGGATCCTGGGCCGAGGTGTGTAGCTGGGCTCAAAGTCGTCCTCTCACGGGCCAGAATCCTGGGAATGCAGGGAAGCATCTGGCTGGCCTCTGGGCGGCAGGGAGGGGGTCAAACCTGGACTTTTTCGTTTTGTTTGGTTTTTGGTTTTTGCACAAAACCCTCCCCGCACCAAGGATTGCTGCCCGGGGAAGTGGAAGCCCGGGGAATGAGCAGGGAGCTTCTCGTTCCTTCTCCAGACCGCTTTCATCACGTCCACTCCCGAGGAACTGCTGGCGAAGAAGACAAACACGCCTCTTCCCCGTTCCGAAGACCCTGTCTTTGTGTCTGGAAGTTCCTTTCTCGGTCGTGGACCATCTGTGCCATCCCCAGCGGGTCTTTCCAGCTGGATTGTCGCCACCTCGTGGCAGGATCAGGTGGTCACATTGGCCCTTGCCCCTCGAGCCCTTTGCTCTCCTGGGTCCCAAGCGTACTTTTCTTTGTTTCTCCTACCAGCTATGAACTGGAATTTTATAATCCTGCTCTCTGGGTTTAGGAGGTGAACTGGGATTCCTCTGCCCCACCCACCCCAGTTACACTGCTCGCCTTCTTTAAAGAGAAACAAGTGTTATTCCGAGAGCCAGGAGTGACCGGATTGACAAGCCCGTGGGGGCTCCGTGTGAGGCGTCAATCCCCCACCAATTTCCCAGGAGACAAACTAATGATTAAGACGACCGACGCACTCTGTCTTGTTCCTACTGGTTAGTGATGCTATTATACTTGATGAGTATTATTACAGGACCCCTGTCATTAAAGACTCCCTGTTATTATTGTTATTATTATTATTTAGCATTTATAATGTATTCCTTATTTTCAAAGCACGCAGACTATTATCTCCCCGGACTTTCCAAAGACAACAGAGCGGCAAGGCAGGTGACAACTTCATTTCACAAAATAGGGAAACTGAGGCACTGTAATTAGTGCAGAGTTCTTGGATTAATGAGTCAACAGTAGTCATTTCTCCCCTACTGATTATTGCCTTACTCTGAAGTGTCATGGATTCCAGTAAATCGTAATCCTGACTTGGGAAACTAGTTTCTCACATCCACTTTTATGACCCACTTGTAATCACATTAGAATCCCCCAGTCAGGGAAGTTTTCAAACGGATGAGTCATTACTTCAAGCTCATTACTGAGCACCTGGGCTGTGTTAATTGTATTTTATTTTACAAGTCAAATTATTGTTATTATTGTTACTCGGTGTTTATAATGGATTCTGTTTAAATGTGTCTAAGAAATTCCAGTTTTTTTTAAGTAGTAGGAGGTCCTAATATCTGTAATATCATGACCTCGCTTTTAAGATAAATATTCCAATTGTTTGTTACCACAAGCATGTGGGGGGGATTAACTATGGTATTTTCAAGTTAGTCCCTATGAGCCACAGAGACAAGACAGCAGTCTCCTGCTCAAGCCTTGTTTCTGTTTTTCAAGGTCTTTGGTCTTACCTGAGAGAGAGTCTCTCAGCACTCCATCGTATTTAGTCTCTGGATTCCTTTGATAATTGAGTTTTCATTCCAAAAGTAGTAGTGAAATATTGTCATTTGCTATCTTCATAGAAAACAGCTGGGTTGCTGGGTAGCACTTGGAAGGCAGAGGCAGGTAGATCTCTGTGAGTTCAAGACCAGCCTGGTCTACAAGAGCTTCCAGGACAGCCTCCAAAGCCACAGAGAAACCCTGTCTCAAAAAACAAAACAGCAATAACAATAAAAAGTGTCATGCACTCCACCTCCCTTCTTCAGAAAGACAAAAAAAGGGGGGGGGATCCAATCATTCTGGAAGTCTCCAGTGCAAAGCTTTGGGCTTAAACTCAGGGCTGGGCCAGGTTTGGAGAGCTGAAAAGTCTGTCCGTCCATCCAGCTGCTGCTTCGACAAACCTGATCCCCAGCCACACTGGGGTCCTCTCATGCAACTCTCCAGTTTTTCTTTTACCCAGTTCCCACCCCAAAGAGCAAATTTCTAAAAGGGCAATTTCAAAGAAGTTGTTTAGTGGTTTAGAGGACTCAAGTCAGCCTTCTCAGTCTTCCTTTGTGCCATTCATTCACGCACAAGAAATGCATGTGGTGTGTATTCATATGTCGGATCTTTATGCCATTCATTCATAAGAAATCCATGTGTTGTGTATTCATACATTTTATCTTTATGCCATGCATTCATTCATTCATAAGAAACCCATGTGTTGTGTATACATACATTGCATCTTGGTAGATAGCCACTTCAATGAGCAAGCTGTCATAAGCTCATTCCTACATAACGCAGCGAAGCTCTTCAGTAAATTCTCACTATTCTTACTCTGCCGCAAGGAAACTGAAGCTCCCATAAGATGTCTATCATGGTACAAGCAGAGGGGAATCTGGAAAGGTGTATAAGGCTGCAGTACCCCAGTACTCAGAAATAAATTCCAAAGCACCACCACCCTCTTGATCCGAGGTTACAGCAAGTAAATATGAGCTGAGGGGTTCATTGTAATGCAGAGAACAGAGCGCCCCATGAGTGGGGAAAGGGTCTGTGTGCATACCCAACGTGGACTATAGCTGTGGACTCGACGATGTGAAGAGTCTCCTGCAGGGTGCCCTGCTCGGCTAAACACATTTGAGCTTCACCTGTCTTAGAGCAGGCAGTAGCTCAGGATTCCCTAAGCAGCTCTTCCAGATTCCTTCAACTTCTAGCCAATGAGGGAGTCAGTCTAGAGAGAGGCAGCCTTTATCAAACACAAGGAGATACCTGCCCTGTCCTCCGCAGCTGCCGGTGGTCATACTCCTCAGTTACAGAAATGGGATGCATAGTAGCAAACAGACTTTCAGGATTGCTACAGTGTTCCCTAAACAAGACAAGGATGATAAAATAAAGGGCAAAGGGCAAGAGATGTTCCACTTGACCACGAGATGATGTTGGTGGAGGACAGATTTGCAACTGAACCCCATCACCTATTAGCTGGATGGCCATCTGGTCTTTATGATGATTGTCACCTGCTTTGCTTCTAGGACCCACCACATAAGGTTGATGTGAAGGTCACTAATAAGTGTGCTGACAGCAATGACTGGTCCGTTGGAGACCCAATTCCAATATTAACACTGTAATGGGAAGAAGTCTTTTTTATTTTTTTGAGACATATTCTTGATAGATAGTCTAGGCTGGTCTTAGATTTGAGATGCTTCGGTCTCAGTGTCATCCCACCCCCCACCACGCCCCAGTGTGGTGCTAACAGCTGTGTGTTACCATGCCCAGATCGTAAAAGAAACCTTTGAGTCAACATATATGAAAGCTGGGCATAGTGGCATGTGACTTTAATCCCGGCACTAGGAGGCAGAGGCAGGTGGATCTCTGTGACTTCAAGGCCAGCCTGGTCTACATAGAGAGCTCCAGGACAGCCCGTGTCCTGGCTGGATTATCCTATGTTTCCCTGGCTCACGAAACATTCTTATCTGTGGAGCAGCCACTAACACCATCACACAGAGTCATCGTGAGGGCAGAAGAAAGAAAAGCTGCTCTAATTTGGACCACTTCGCAGAGACTCAGTAAGTGCTCCAGTTATACATTTAGCATCAGTAAACATCCTCTTGGTATATGCTCAGTGGTGTTTTTTAAAAAAGAACACACACAAATGAAGACATGCATCATCCATGAATATACCTTCTGACTAATTGGTTCAAGTTTTTAAAGACTTATTTATTTTTTATGTTTGCTATCCAACTACATGCCTAGCATATATGTGTAAGAGCCCTAAGAGGCCAGAAGGCTTGGATACTCTGGAACCAGTTACCGGTTGCTGAAGGCTGCCATGTGGGTCCTGGGAACCCAACTTAGGCCTCTCCAAGAGAAGTGTCTTCCTTTGTTACTGTGATAACCACAACCAGCAAAAGCAACTTGCTGAAGAAAGGGTTTACTTGTCACTTATCACGTCACACTCCATCACTGAGAGAAGCCAGGGCAGGAGCTCAAGGCAGGAATTTGGAAGCAGGAACTGAAGCAGAGACCTTGGAGAAATGTCACTTACTGCTTGTCCCCCATGGCTTGCTTTGACTGCTCTTAGACAACCCAGGACCAACGGCCCAGGGATGGCGGTGCCTCCCACCGTGGGCTGAGTCACCCAACACCAATCATTGGTCAAGAAAATGCCACACCAACGTGCCCACGTGCTAGTCTGATGGAGGCAATTTTTCAGTTGAGGTTTCCCAATGAGCCTAGTTTGTGCAGGTTGACAAAACTAACCAACAGAGACAGTAAGTACTCTTGACGGCTGAGTCATTCCCAGTTCCAAATTAACTTTTTTTAATCCTTGAAAAGGCAACTCGGGGGCTTATTGGGGTAACCCAAGCAAACTGGTAACTGCACTGGGCTGTTGTTCAAGAAGACACCGAGTCCCATTAATAACAAGTCTATGCAACAGGTTTAGAAAGTCAAGTTCCATGAAGGCAGGAGCCCTGTGGGGGGGCCCACGCGTGCAGTGTGTGCGTGCTTGCGCGCGCGCGCGCGCGCGCGGGTGTGTGTGTGTGTGTGTGTTGCAGCGGGGGGAGGGGGGGATTCTGAAATGGCTCTCCAAGGGTTCTCTGTACTGAGTTACACCTTCCCATTTCCTCTGAAGCCAAAAGTCAGAGTGGTCCTCAGGGGCCGAGGTGGAGGGAAGGGAACAAGTTGAGCACCTGGATCTCGGGGGAGCGAGCAGTAAGGCAGATATCCTGGTCTGCATCCTTGCTCCTCACAGCGCGGTTTGCAAGTTTGGCAAGCAACGTGCAGGCGCTTGTTAGAAAAGTTAGCCCTCTGTCTATACCCCACCCCCACGCCCCCATCCCCGTCGCAACCCCCACCCCACATCATTCCGCCCTCTACCTGCTGGATCAAAATAGGCGCTTTAGCCACAGTCCCTGGAGTCTTGGAGGCACACTGAAGAAACACACTGGAGAAACACTGAAGCAGAGCATGCCCATCGCGGCGGCTCAGTGGTTGAGATAACCGGATTCTGGGAGGGAGGGGTCCCTTTGAATCCTCTACCCTTTCTCGTTTCACCTTTCTTGAGTCTGCACGGAGGGCTCCGTAATAGGAAAAGACGGTGGCCTCCTGTCCAGGGGAGTGCCGCTGTAATGATCAGGAATCGTGACAGATACAGAAGTGGGTGACTGACCAGATCACGACTAGAAAGTCACTTCTGTCGCCCAGAAGCTATCATCCAGACAGCATCCGTGGAGGACCTACCGTGTGCCCGGCCCCCCCACTGTCCGAGACTCGTAAAAACAGCTTGGTGCCACGGAGAGTCCTGAGCTGGCACGTTCGGGAGTTCTGGGCTCTGATCCAAATCCTACTTAAATTGGCTGGGCTAGTCCCTCGGCCCATGGCGTCTGTTTCCCCATCTAAAAACCAAGCAGGGCAGATCGAAGGCCCACCTGGAAACCTTGGTCTCACTGGGTAAAGCGGCATGAAACAACAGAGCGCACCCCAGGGCAGGGTGTGGCTAAAGGCTGAGCGGATTTGGCGGCACCCAGGGCCCCGGCTCTGCAAGCCGCGTGCAAGCATCCTGAGTTTGGAAGGAAAGGAAAAGCCTCCTCCAGGTACTCCCGAAGCCCCCCTGTGGAGGGCGCGCAGGCTGGAGTTTCTCCCTTGGCCGTTAGGTGTCGCTGCCTTGATGTGAAATATAAGGTTGATAGGGACGCTTTCGGAGAAACCGTAGGAATCCCTGTGGGCAACTCGACTCTGCTGGTGTCCAGATCTGGACCCCCAACTGGACAGCTCAGGACTTAAGCAGGAAGCTGTGCACACACTCCCCCTGCTCAGG